CCACCTGCACACGCGCCTGGGCTGTCCCCCAGGCCTGGCGCCGGCCACACCCCGCTCGCGCGCCCTCGGGGCGCAGCCACGACGGGGTTTAGGCTAGGGGCCTGGGGGAGGGAGGGGGCTGTGAGGGGCGGTGCGGAGCCAATAGGCGGTTGCAGATTCCCGCTGGACTGGGGCCAGGCTGGAGCTGAGAGGAGTGGAGCTGAGAGGGAGCGCGCCTGCCCAGCCCGGAGTCCCGCTGCCTTCCCTGCCACAGAGCGGGCCAGCGGCCACCGCCCAACCATGGAACCGGACAACAGCCCTCGGAAGATCCAGTCCACGGTCCCGCTGCTGGAGCCACACCTTGACCCCGAGGCGGCGGAGCAGGTGCGGAGCAGGGCGGGGCGGCAGGGGACTCGCCCAGCCAAGGACGAGGGACCCCAGGACTGTCTGATCCGAGATCCCTGCCTGATCCTCCCCGAACAGTGCGCCTCTAAGGGCGGATGCGCTCAGTTTGGGGGTCTCCCACCCCCTCCCCCACCGTGGGAGCCACACGTCCCTATCCTTGCTTCTTGGAGACGGACAGAAGGACGAGCGCCTCCCCTGCAAGCTCGTCCCCACCGGAGTCGCTCTCTGCCTCCCCAGCCCCGGGGGAGGGGGCTGCCTGAGGACACGACCCCTCTGGCCTTCGGCCTTCGCCAGTCTGGGGTCCTCCACCCAGCCAACCCCGCGGGTTTCTGAGCTCTGCGGGGGCGCTGCGCCAAAAGGTCCCCGCCACCGCTGGGGAGGGGTCCAGGGAGAGGGGGGTAATGGAGGGAGCCCTGTGCTCCTGCTGCATACCCAAATACCCTGTCCTGCTTTTCTTTAGGAGACAACCCCCTTTCTCATGAAAGGAAATGAAATCTTTCGCTTTTGCTGCCTCCTCTCATGGGCAGGGCCCCTCCACCTTCCCAGCCCTAAACCCTGCCAGGCTTGGAGAAGTTCTGGGTATCTGCTTGCCACACCCCTCCCTGCCCAGAACTCCGGGGACACCTGCACACGCGCCTGGGCTGTCCACCAGGACTGGCGCCGGCCACACCCCGCTCGCGCGCCCTCGGGGCGCAGCCACGACGGGGTTTAGGCTAGGGGCCTGGGGGAGGGAGGGGGCTGTGAGGGGCGGTGCGGAGCCAATAGGCGGTTGCAGATTCCCGCTGGACTGGGGCCAGGCTGGAGCTGAGAGGAGTGGAGCTGAGAGGGAGCGCGCCTGCCCAGCCCGGAGTCCCGCTGCCTTCCCTGCCACAGAGCGGGCCAGCGGCCACCGCCCAACCATGGAACCGGACAACAGCCCTCGGAAGATCCAGTTCAAGGTAACGCTGCTGGAACCGCACATTGACCCCAAAGCGGTGGAGCAGGTGCAGAGCAGGGCTGGGCGGCCAGGGACTCGCCCAGCCAAGGAGGAGGGACCCCAGGACTGTCTGATCCGAGATCCCTGCCTGGTCCTCCCCGAGAAGTGAGCCTCTAAGGGCGGATGCGCTCAGTTTGGGCATCTTCCACCCCCTCCCCCAGTAGGAACCACAAGTCCCTACCCTTGCTTCTTCAAGAAGGACAGAAGGACAAGCGCCTCCCCTGGAAGCTCATCCCCACCAGAGTTGCTCTCTGCCTCCCCAGCCTCGGGGTAGGGGGCTGCCTGAAGACAGGACCCCTCTGGCTTTCGCCAGTCTGGGGTCCTCCACCCAGCCAACCCCTTGGGTTTCTGAGCTCTGCGAGGGCGCCTCACTGAAGGGTCCCTGCCGCCACTGGGGAGGGGTCCCGGGAGAGGGGAGGTAATGGAGGGAGCCTGGTGCTGTGCGTATAGGAGTGGAAAGAAGAGCAATAGCTTGCCCAGTGCTCTCCAAAATAGGAGCTAGCCTACTGGATCCCAGAGAGTGAGAACGCGAAGGGCTGGGGAACACTGAGAGGGCTGGGGCTTTGGGGAGAGGGGTGGTCCCGTCTGCAGGCTGAGGCTCCCCTGGCTGCAAGTCTGGACACGTGGGTCCTTTTTTCCCAACTACTGCCCTTTGGAGCGGGGAGTGGGGGGTGGCGTGGAGAGAACGGCACTGGGAAGCCACAGGCAGGGGCTTTCGAGGGACTGGGGTTCAAGTTGAGCGACAGGCAGGGGAGAAGCACTGTGCTGGCCTTTGCTCGAGGGGTGGGAGTCCAGAGCCCGGCCCAGCCTCCTGGCCTGGCCTATATTTAGCTCTGAACAGCCTGGCAGAGGCAGCAGCAGCCTATGAGAATGTGTGAGCAAGTGTGTGTCTCAGGGACAGTGAGCGTGAGTGGAGAGGGTGACCACCCGTGGTCACTACTACAGCCTGTTTGCCAGATAATTGTTCATTTCTCCATCTCCTTTGTGTCCTCTGTCCATTTGCCTGGGCATCGCTCTTCCTAAAGAATATCCATTCCCACAAGGTCAGTTCCCTACTTCCCCCAACTGACTGCCAGGGCCCTGCTGGCCTCCCCACCTGAAAAAACACTGGCCTCTCAGGAGGGGCTGACAGAGTGTTCCTTCTGTTGATCCAGCTGGTTGGTAGAACAAGGTCTGGATGGGAAGGGGAAGGGAAGGTACACACTCTCTCCCTATAACTTCAGCTTCCCAAGTGTGGGTAGGGGTTAAGTCCCTGGGTCCCCATCCTCTCTCTGGTCTGGGGGAGCCGCATCTCCAGATCTCTGAGGTGGGACAGTAGAGGGAGGGACTGTGGGGAGACCTCCAAACACCTGAGGATGAGGAGGGTGAAGAGCCAGGAGCATGGGGAGTGTTCGCTGGGGTCAGGAGAAAGGCTATTGTGCCTGCAGGCAGGGGACTAGCAGAGATAACCTCAGAGCCAGGAAGAAAGGGCCCACGAGTGTGGAATGTGGGGGTTAGGGGTGAGGTTTCCAGCAGATATGCCTTCCATTGGCACAAACAGGTATCACTACGTGACACCTGCCTCAGTGTGGTGTTAGAGGAGGCAGGTGCAGTGTGTGTTGGGAGTTGAGGGGGAGGCCAGCTGGTTCGGGGATGTAGGGGCAGAGGAGAAGGATAAGGCCATGCTAAGGAGCCAGAGGGAAAATGAGAGCTGGGCCTTGAGCCTGCTTTTCTCTAATCTTCAGAAATCTGTCTGCCAAGCCTGAAATTTTACCTGCAGTCTAACCCCAACCCCTCCTGCTGTGTTATCCACGTGTGCAGGCAAAAAGCTCCAGGTTTGGCAGGAGCTCCTATCCCAGACTGACAAGGGAAGGCAAAAACGCTCCGAAGAACTGCATTAGAGAGCACAGGGTGGCAGGGGGTATGGGGTGCCCACAACTACCAGGTCGTTGGCATGAAAGGCTTGAAGATAAATCAGAGGCAAAGCCACAAAGTTTCCTTTAGAGCTAAGATTTGGGATGTGTGGAAGAAAGAAAAGAGCATAGTTCGGGTGTCTGGGAGGTGCTTCGGGAAGTCTGACTTTGTTCCCTCACCATTCTCAAGGACACTGAGTGCTTAGAAATCTTGTCCAAGGCAAGGAAATTGGCTCAGGAAGGGATCACAGAACCCTGCTGCCCTTTCAAGTCTCCCTCTCAGGTTCCCAACTCCCACTAATCCGCACCCTCCCTCTCCCTGTCTCTTTCACAGCCAGCCCCCTCCCGCAGAGCAAGAGAGAACTGGAGAGGAGTCCCCTCCTAGGAGGAGGATGGCCCCCACCCACATACAGGAAGCACACATGCCTGCCTGCTGGCACCTGCACATTTGCACCAGGAACAGCTAGAGATGGGCTCAGCTAATGTTTGTGCGGTGCACGCATATATGCGGCGTGCACACACATGGGACTGGTAGTGCCAGGGCCCTTGAAATGTCACCAGAACAGAGGCCACTGGATTATCCTGAGAAACACTGCCCTACCTCAACACACCCCCACTCTGTGCATCCCATTTCTTCTTTGGGGAGAGTCTGCCTCTCAGACTGACACTGCCCCTCTTGCTGTGGCTGATACCCATTTGGGGGCATAGAGACGGGCAGGCATCTTACCACCTTCACCCCAATGGGAATAATACTAAATGGACACACAAAGATGGGGATTTGATCATTCAGTGTCCTCACCCTACTCTTCTTAGCTCTGAATAATTTTAGCCCCTCTCCCAGTCCCATTAGCCTTCCCTCCCTTCTGCTGTCCTGGAGGGAACTATAGGGACTCCAACCCCACCTTTACCCTCGCTTCCAAGCCCCTAAACCCTCCAAAGAAACGGAAAAAAAAAAAGGCCTGGTTGCTCCCAACTGCCCTCCCCTGCCAGCCTGGTCCCCCCCTAACTGCCCTCCCCACTCCAGCCTGATCACCCCCAGCCGCCCTCCCCTCCTGGCCTGATCTCCACTAACCGCATCTGCCTCGGCCCCGCCACCATGGCTTTGTCAACAACAATCAACTTTATTGGCAGCATGACAAAAGAGCAGCAACGGGAAAAGGGGCTCAGAAGCCCAGCAATCAGCTCTTATATGTTAACTAGAGGCCCGGTGCATGAAATTCGTGCACTGGGGGTGGGGGTCCCTCAGCCCAGCCTGCACCCTCTCCAATCTGGGACCCCTCGGGGATGTCTGACTGCCGGTTTAGGCCCGATCCCACACCCCTCTCACAATCCAGGACTTCTGGCTCCCAACTACTCACCTGCCTGCCTGCCTGATTGCCCCTAACCATTTCTGCCTGCCAGCCTGATCACCCCCTAACTGCTCCCCTGCCAGCCCGATTGCCCCCAACTGCCCTCCCCTGCCGGCCTGGTCGCCCCCAACTGCCCTCCTCTGCCAGCCCGGTCGCCCCTAACTGCCCTCCCCTAAAGGCCTGGTTGCTCCCAACTGCCCTCCCCTGCCAGCCTGGTCCCCCCCTAACTGCCCTCCCCACTCCAGCCTGATCACCCCCAGCCGCCCTCCCCTCCTGGCCTGATCTCCACTAACCGCATCTGCCTCGGCCCCGCCACCATGGCTTTGTCTGGAAGGACCTCCAGAAGGTCTCCCAGAAGGTCTTCCAGTCTAATTAGCATATTACCCTTTTATTAGTATAGATTTCTTAGAATGGGACCTGAAGCTCAGGATAAGACTTTTCAGCTGACCAGGGTCCTGCCTAGGACTGCTCATTTATATTTACCATGACAAGGATTTTCACAGACATATTTCCTCACAAACCAGAAAGGCAATGTGTCCAAGGATAGGGAAAACATTAGGAAGTGAGGAGCACAGGCCAGGGAAATGCACATTCAGACCTGCCTGTTCTGTGCTGTCCCCCCAGGCAGGGTGGGGATTGAGGGGTGTTCTCTACAGGTGCTGATCCACAAAGGGTTAATGTCTGCTTGGGGGGTGGGCTGGGAGACTGAGGGAAGAGCCTTGCACCTCCTGGGTTATTTCTGACCATTGATCCAGGATGGACGGAAAGACAGTGGGCCAGAGATCGATGTACTCGAGCAGATATAACTGCTGAGATGGATAGCTAGGGCCAGGACTGGGGGAGGGGGGACTCAGATACAGAAAAGGGGTAGGGGGATGCAGAAAGGCGGGGGGGTCTTTTGGGTCCCCAACAGAGAGGGATGAGCACAGGAAAGTCCACCCTGAGACAACGGGTTCTGTGTAACAATATTTTTTGAGGTGTGCTAACTGGCTGACCTGGATTACATTGCTGAGAGAGTGGTATTGGGTGGGGCTTTGATGCCTCCACATGTACTTGACCTCTTCCTTCAGATTCGGAGGCGTCGGCCCACCCCTGCTACGCTCGTGCTGACCAGTGACCAGTCATCCCCAGGTAACCCCAGGAATGGGTCGCTGAAGGGAGTGGGGGCTGCTGAAGACAGCTGGGTCCAGTGAGGGAAGATTGAGTGCTAGATAGAAGGGCAGGTCTGAGAAGTCAGAGATCTCCTCAATCCTGGAGGCAGAAAAGTGATGGCTGGATTAGCAGGAGGATTTCCTTTGCTCTGGGAAGATGGAGCAATGCTAGGAAGGGGAGAGAGAACACCTGGTTCCTAAGCCCTCGGGAATTGGGTGGTCAACTGAGTGCTGGTTGCTTCGCAACAGCCTTCCAGGTTTCTCCAGCAACTGAGATGCTGCTGCCCCCACCCCCAGAGGCTATGACAGCTGTGCGGGGGAGGGACCGCCTCCATCAGCTATCTTCACAGCCCCCAGAGGGGAAAGGGAAAGTTAGAAAAAGCTCAGGGAGCAGCTGGCATTCTGGTCACCAGTGTCCCCATCAAGGTCTGGGGAGAGAGCAAGGTCTCAGGGAATGTCATGGGGAGCTTGACAGGAGAGTGGAAGAGAGGTGGTCATGCTTATAAGCTAGCCAGGAATTCAGGATGCCTGAGTCTCCCCTTGCCTCCAACTAGTGAGAATGATTGCACCTTCCTGGCCCCTGCACGGGATCAATTTGCTTTCCAATGTTCCCTCGTATGCAGCAAAGGGACCACAAATCCTGGAACCTCCAGGTCTGATGCAAGGATGTAGACACAGATAAACCCATAGGGTCAAGGACAGGATTAGATGCAGGGGTAAAGCCAGCCAGCAGAGCAGGAGGAAGCTGGAAGGAGAAGGCCAGGGGCAGCCTCCAGGGCTAACTGCCTAGGGGCAGATGTGAGGGACACATCAGGAAGGAGGTGACTGCAGAGGCTCTTACCCTTGGAAGTCAGCTCCGTGGGGACTCTCTGATCTCCCATCCTCATCACTTTCTCCTTTCCCTGTTCCCCTCAGAGATAGATGAAGACCGGATCCCCAACCCCCTTCTCAAGGTGAGCTGGCCCCTCCCACTCAGCCCAGCCCAGGGAACCCACAGACTCATTAAGGGATTATTCCTCAGAACACTCCATCTGCAGAAACGTTGAGTTCCTCGTCCCTGTACCCCCCAAATGTGCATGTACACACACATCCCAACATGCCCCCCACACGGTCTCCTTGCTCGCCATTGTGGGGGCTGGAGAAGCAGGAATTTTCTTTCTCCACTTTCTGAAGTCCACACCTACCCCCAATTGCAATCCAAAAGCATGACAAGGCACAGGAGGCAGGTGAGAGAGCCGGCACCCACTGTGTTCTGTCCTTCACAGTCCACTTTGGCCATGTCTCCACGGCAACGGAAGAAGGTGACGAGGACCACACCTACAATGAAAGGTTTGGAAGATCCTTTCCATCTCTTTTTTTTTTCCCCATCACCATTTATCCCACATATATCCTCTTTCACCTCTGCCCACCCCCAATTCCTCCCATCTCTTTCTTCCCCTCTGTGCCTGAGATTGGGCAGTTGACCTAATGCCCCTTTGGAAAGAATCCTTGAGAAGTCATTAAGTCTGTATTATAGTGAGGTTGTTGCTACACAAACTGGAGTTGGCTTCCAGCTCTGTTTCCCAACTAGCTGAGTGGCCTTCTTAACCTACTGAGCCCCAAATACAACCTCACTACAGCAGTTAAGCTAAAGAAAATATGTGAACTCACCCTGTATAGGGTGTAACACATAGAAGTTACTCAAATTTTTTTCAATTATAGTTGACATTCAGTATTATTTTATACTAGAGGCCCGGTGCACAAAAATTTGTGCACTCGGGAGGGTCCCTCAGCCCGGCCTGTGCCCTCTCACAGTCTGGGACCCCTCGGGGGATGACCACCTGGTGGCTTAGGCCCGCTCCCCGGGGGATTGGGCCTAAGCTGGCAGTCAGACATCCCTCTGGCAGCCTGGGAGCCCTTGGGGGATGTCCACTTGCCAGCGGGGACCAGGCCTAGTTGAAGTCGGACATCATTAGCGCTGCTGAGGAGGCTGGAGAGGCTCCCACCACCACCACTGTACTGGCAGCCATCAGCCTGGCTTGTGGCTGAGCAGAGCCCCCCCTGTGGGAGCACACTGCCCACCAAGGGACGGCTCCTGCATTGAGCGTCTGCCCCCTGGTGGTCAGTGTGTGTCATAGTGACCAGTCATTCCCAGTCGCTCTGCTGTTAGGGTCAATTTGCATATTACCCTTTTATTATATAGGATAGAGGCCTGGTGCATGGGTGGGGGCCAGCTGGTTTGCCCTGAAGGGTGTCCCGGATCAGGGTGGGGGTCCCGCTGGGGTGCCTAGCCAGCGTGGGTGAGGGACTGAGGGCCGTTTTCAGAGTGGCCACACCCCCTTCAGGGTGGGGGTCCCCGCTGGGGTGCCTGGCCAGCCTGGGTGAGGGGCTGATGGCTGTTTGCAGGCTGGCCACAGCCCCCAGCCACCCAAGCTCCCAGTGGAGGCTGGCTGGAAGCAGGTATCTAGGAATTATTTAGCTTCTATAATGGAAACTTTGTTGCCTTTTGCAGAGGCCACAGCCGGCCAGAGCAGGCAGGAAGCTTGGCTTCCTCCATCGCCGGGGCAACCAAGCCTCCTGCTTGCTCCAGCTCCGTGGCTGCCGGCCGCCATCTTGGTTGGGTTAATTTGCATATAGTTGCCCTGATTGGCTGGTGGGCGTGGCTTGGGCATAGCAAAGGTATGGTCAATTAGCATCTTTGTCTTTTATTAGTGTAGATTGGTTTCAGGTATACAGCATAGCGGTTAAACATTTATATAATTTATGAAGTTATCCCCCCGATAATTTCAGTACCCACCTGGCACCATGCATAGTTATTACAATATTATTGACTATTTCCTATGCTGTATTTTACATCTCCGTGACTATTTTGTAACTATCAATTTGTACTTCTTTATCACTTCACCTTTTTCACCTGCCCTCCCCCCCAAATCCCCTCCCATTTGGCAACCATCACTTTATTCTCTGTATCTATGAGTCTGTTTCTGTTTTGTTTGTTCATTTATTTCTTTCAATTCCATATGTAAGTGAAATCATGTGATATTTGTCTTTATGTGACTTATTTCATTTAGTATAATATCCTTTAGGTCCACCCATGTTGTCACAAATGGTAAAATGTCATTCTTTTTTATGGCCAAGTAATGTTCCATTGTGTATTTGTACCACATCTTTATCTAATCATCTATTGCTGGGCACTTAAATTGCTTCTATATCTTGGCTATCCTATATAATAAAAGGGTAATATGCAAATTAACCCTAATGGTGGAACAACCAGTCGCTATGATGTGCACTGACCACCAGGGGGCAGATGCTCAATGCAGGAGCTGCTCCCTGGTGGTCAGTGCATTTCCACAGGGGGAGCACCACTCAGCCAGAAGCCGGCTCACGGGAGCCTCTCCCACCTCCGCAGCAGCACTAAGGATGTCTGACTGATGGCTTAGGCCTGCTCAGTGAGGGAGTGGGCCTAAGCCATCCGTCAGACATCCCCCAAGGGCTCCCGGGCTGCCAGAGGGATGTCTGACTGCCAGCTTAGGCCCAAACCCCTGGGGAGCAGGCCTAAGCCAGCAGGTGGACATCCCCCAAGGAGCCCCAGCCTGCCAGAGGGATGTCTGACTGCCAGCTTAGGCCCAAACCCCTGGGGAGCAGGCCTAAGCCAGCAGGTGGACATCCCCCAAGGAGCCCCAGCCTGCCAGAGGGATGTCTGACTGCCAGCTTAGATCCATCCCCTGGGGAGCAGGCCTAAGCTGGTAAGTGGACATCCCCAGGGGGCCCCAGACTGCGAGAGGGCACAGGCCGGGCTGAGGAACCCCCCCCCCCACCCAGCAAGTGCACAAATTTTCGTGCACCGAGCCTCTAGTTGTAAATAATGGTGCAATGAACAAAGGGGTGCCTATATCTTTCAAATTAGTGTTTTAGATTTCTTCAGATAGGTACCCAAAAATAAAATCTCTGGGTTGTAAGACAGTTTCACATTTAATTTTTTGAGGACCCTTCATACTGTTTTCCACGGTGGCTGCACTAATCTACATTCCCACCAACAGTGCAAGAGGGTTCTCTTTTCTCCACATCCTCACCAACACTCATTGTTGGTTGATTTATTGATGATAGCTATTCTGACAGGTGTGAGGTGATATTTCATTGTGGTTTTAATTTGCATTTTTCTGATTATTAGTGACATTGAGCATCTTCTCATGTATCTATTTGCATCTGTATGTCCTCTTTGAAGAAATGTCTATCACGTCCTCTGCCCATTTTTTAATTGGATTGTTTGGGGGTTGTTTTTGGTGTTGAGTTGTATGAGTTCTTTGTAAATTTTGGATAATAACCCCTTATCGGATGTATCATCGGTAAATATCTTCTCACATTCAGCAGGTTGTCTTTTCATTTTGTTGATAGTTTCCTTTGCTGTACTGAAACTTTTTAGTTTGTAGTCCCGTTTGTTTGTTTTTTCTTTTGTTTCTCTTGCCTAAGTAGATATATCTGAATATATATATTACTAAGAGCAATGTTAGAGAGTTTATGCCTATGTTTTCTTCTAGTTTTGTGGTTTTGGGTCTTACATTTAAGTCTTTGATCTATTTTGAGTTTATTATTTTATATGGTGTAAGAAGGTGATCTAGTTTTGTGGGGGGGGTTTGTTTTGGGGGGGGTGCATGTATCTGTCCAGTTTTCCCAGCATCATTTATTGAATAGACTAGTTTTACCCCACTGTGTGTTCTTGCCCCCTTTGTCATATATTTATTGACCATATAGGTGTGAGTTTATTTCTGGCCTCTCTATTCTTTTCCATTGGTCTGTGTGTCTCTTTTTATGCCAGCACCATGTTGTTTTGATTTCAAATATTTTTTACTCTAACTTGAGTCTTTTCTCCTGCCCCCAAGGGAGACCAAGTATCCCAACAAGTTAGAGCCTTTTGTTCTTAAAGGCTCTTCCCTACACCTTTCTTATTGTTTTTTAAAAAAATGTTTTTATTGATTTGAGAGAGAGAGGAAGGGATAGGGAGAAAGAGAGAGAGAAACATCAATGTAAGAAAGAAACATCGATCGGTTGCCCCCCATACGCACCCCGACTGGAGATAAAACTTGCAGCCAGGGTATGTGCACTGACTGACCTGGAATTGAACCAGCAGCCTTTCGGAACAACGCTCAACCAACTGAGCCACACCGGCCAGGGCACCTTTCTTACCTTTGAAGGAAATATGTCTTATTGTCTAGCTTTAGTCCCTCCTAATTGCCTAGCGAATGTCCCTCCTTGTTCAGATCTCGGGGCATGGCAGTGTGTGATGGCCATTTAGCGTGGTTGTTGAAGTTGAGTGTTCACAGAGGAGGCTCTGGGCAGTCATGTCCAATGTTCCCTCCCTTTCTCTGCATCCCCAGAGCTTCAGATGATGGTTGAACATCACCTGGGGCAACAGCAGCAGGGAGAGAAGCCTGAGGGAGCCGCTGAGAGCAAAGAGACCCAGGAGACCTGCCCACCTGAGACCACAGACACAGAAGCGGAGTCAAGACTGGGTGCCTCTGGGAAAGCACAAAGTATGTTCCAGCCCAGGAGGAGGCAACCTATTGTGGGGAGGAGTCTAGGAGTAGCCAGAAACTATCTTCAGAATATGGATATATCTGCACGTATTGCATGTATTTGCATCTCTTCACCTTTCCTTACCAAATGACCCCAACCCTTCCCAACTGGCCATCAGAGCTCCCTGTTGTGGCTGAATGTGGGGAGCCCATCATAATGGGAACAGCATTCATAGGCTAGAGTCCCAGCTCTGCCCCTTTCCCAGCCCAGAGGCCTCGAGCAACTTAACCTCAGTCTATAAAATGATAATGATGGTGCCTGATTCACTGGTAGTTTGTGAAAATTAAATGAACCCGCCCGGTAACTGGCACATACAAAGCATGCAATAAGTGGAAATTGCTGGGGGTACTGTTAATACATGTCCATAGTCCCTTATCCCAATTATTCCAGAAGTCAGAATTTTTCCAATTTTATGAAGGTGATACAGTATGTATACTGTATATTATATAGTATCCCCAGGAGCACACCCTGTAATCAAACACATTAATATTTCTACAGTGAAATGAACTGTCCCACTAAGTGGGATAAGTAGACTATAAATAGCTTCATATCAGTTCAGGTCAGATTTAGCCACACATTGAGATTATACCCAAATTTGAAAACTTTTTTGGAGGGTTTTTTTCTTTTCTTTTTTTTATTTTTGGGAAAAAAAATTTAAACATAGTGATTCTATAGTAGGAATTGTAATCAGAGAAAACCCTGTTGGTCTTGGCCGATTGCCCCAGCTTGGTCTTGGCTCCTCTCGGGTCATTGGAGTATGGGGTGGGTTGAGCACTGCCCTCTCTACCAGCCCTCATGAATACCACCTCTCCTCCCACCCTCATTTTCCCTCCTTAGAGCTTGCAGAATCCACCCCAAAAACTCAGGAGAGGGGCAGTGAGAAACCCAGCACAGAAGAACTCTCAACCCATATATCACCACTGGGTTCCCAGGGAGCCAACTCGGTAAGCTGCCAAGGCTGGGCTGTGGGTCTATAGGAGAGCAACTGTGTGGAGGAAGGCGGGGGCTAAGATCTGGACTCAGGGAAGGGGGAACAGAGCACCATCTTTAGTCCCTGAAGAGCTAGTCTCTATGGCAAGAGAATGGACAAATGAGAAGCTGCAGCAGAAGGGACTGAGGTTAGACTCTGAGTTAGGACTTCCAGCTCCTGGAATAGGTGATGGAAATAGACCATGGGTTTTCTGATAAAGGGCATTTGGAACCCTCAGCTGTCCAGGCTGATGAGCAGTGGACCTGCCTGGAGTGGAGGCATTGATGGAATAACCCCCTGAGCTGCGATGTTACAGTCCTCCCTCCCCTGCATAGCCTGGACAAGGGGCAGGAACTGGTGTCAGACATCAGAAATTAGATACTTGACTAATAGGATGGTTGGGCAGACCAGCTCGGGAGGGGGCCTCTCACTCACCCTTTCTTTCTGCCCCCTTTCCCCACAGCAGGTCTGAGAGTGAAGAGAGATCCTGGGTACAAGCCTGCAGCTGGGAGTGCGTGGACACTGGATTTGTTTCTTATTTCTTCACTTTGGGGAAAATCTCTTCTTTTTAAAAAGTGATAAATTTGGTGTTAGATCCTTGGTATTTCCCTTCTTTCCCGACTTGGAGAATCTTTTCCCTCTCCCCTCTTGTCCTGCCCTCTCTACCCTGTGCCCAGTTGCAAATGGGCAGGAGACTTGAGAAGGGGGTTCTTCTCCATCCCTGCCTTACTTGCTGCGGGAAGAGGAATGGGGGTCAGATAGATGGGAAGACTAAATTCCAGGGTACCAAGAGGAAAGAATGACCCCAGGTTCTCTTTTCCTATTGAAGAAGGGATATCGCCACCTGGCGGGCTTCCCTGCAGCTGCGAGCCTTGGAGCTCTAAGGCCAGCCTAACTGTGACTTTGTGTGAGCATCATCTGCTGGACAAAATGGGGAACTGCAGCCTGGCGCGGCCCGTGGGAAAGAGTGGGTGGTGTGTTGTGTGGATGCCTCCTCGCCTGCCCTCCAAGCTTCGGTGATTCCCAAACTTCCACCTGTGAGGAGACCACCACCCCTATTCCAACCTATTAGCAAAGGTGTATTGAGAATACGGTGGCTATTATCTAAGAGGCCCTTGCTGGGAATTGGGAAGGTCACTCTGCCCCTTGTCCTAGACACCAAGGGGCCAGGGTAAAAGACAAAAGCTGAGCATAGGTGAGGAAACTTCCTCAGACCCCAAAGCCAGGCCTCTCCTGCCCACTGCTTTTGATTTTTTCAGGTAGTGGAGGGGAGAAGGAAAGAAGGAAGGAAGGAAAGAAGGAAGG